CATCGATTGCCTCCAGCTAAAATAGTAAAACAGCATCGCGTCCATAAGAACCTTGATTTGGAATCGTTGAAAGAATCAATTTCGTCATCATTAAATGATCTACATAGCATGGATGTAAACACGCTGTGTAAAGTTAATAACTCTGCTCTCAGTGGTGCTATTGAGATGCATGCGCCCTGTCGAATGAAAACGTTAATTGATAAACCCAGGGCTGAGTGGTTCTCAACGGAGCTAATTGAGGAACGAAGGCTCTTATGGAGTCTTGAAAGGAAATGGTTAAATTCAAAACTTGAGGTTCATGGTCAGACATATAAAGCAATGCGGGCATCGTACCATTTGCAATTGAATGAATTAAAGGCTAATTTTCATCGTAATCACATTGAATCCGCTGATACCAAAGAACTGTTTTCAATCGTTGATAGATTATCTGGTTGTAAGAGATTTACCAAACACGTCTTACTTGATTTAGATTCATCCAATCTGCCTAGCATTTTTGCGGACTATTTTTCTCAGAAGATTCTGAATATCAGATCAAATTTACAACCTATGGCAGAAGAATTTGTGTTTTCTGAGAGAAAACAATATTTGTCCCAGATGAATGACTTTGATTCTTTAAATGTTGACGCTGTGAAACAATAGGTTTGTAAAATGTGTTCAAAAACATGTTCATTAGACCCGATGCCAACCAGTTTGGTTAAAGACTGTCTGGATATTTTATCTCCTGTATTGTGCAGTATTGTGAATACTTCCTTTGAGTCTGGTGCATTTCGGATGTATGCAAGGAGGCAATCGTTTGTCTACTGATCAAAAAAGTCGGACTAGATAAAAACGTACTGAAAAATTACCGTCCAGTTTCAAACTGCTCCTTTTTTGATAAATTTCTGGAAAATGCTGCTTTAATTCAACTTCATGTACATTTTCAGGAAAACGCCTTGTATGGCAAATTTCAATCTGCATATCATAAAGATCACAGCACTGAAACTGCACTTTTAAGGGTGCAGAATGACGTTATGCGTGCTCTTGATAGGCAGAATGATGTTGTTTTAATTATGCTTGACCTATCCGCCGCTTTTGCCATGGTTGACCATGATATCCTTTTAAACCATTTGAAGTACCGGTTTGAATTGGGGGAGGGTTCATGATTGGCTGAACTCTTTCTTGAGAGGTAGAACCCGCATGGTATTGTAAGGGGTTAAATGCTCCATTTGTAATTATTATTTAGATTATTTATTAGAGGGTAATGGATTAGTATTATTTTCTCATAAACATAATTTGTTGGTCGATAGTTTACTTTCAAGGTCATCCTGTTAGTTCTACAAGTCGGGTTCCGCGTTTATTTACATTAATTACTGGAGTCAGACGCATTGGCAAACACATAAATAAGCACATTTCATTACTATTATTAGTACTTATTTTTGGAAAGAAAATCTTTATTTTGTTGGATTGTAAAATTTCCATACTTTCAAAAACAAATATCTAACCAGGTTGGGTTTATTGTCATTTATCATAACATCTTATAGGAATTAGGTACAGGAAAATTAGGCTCTTTTTAACTATTACATCATACTTATTGTTGCTAAGTTACTACATGCGCGGGCTCCGGCAGTCGCCTGCCCTGACATCCACAGGTAACTTTGTCATAATTATAGATCAATTTTGGTGATAATAATTCATGTTTCATTTGGGAAAGTAATGACTGGGGTCCTATGTCAATATAACTGCAGGAGATCATGGATCATTCTAATGTAAATTTCAGTCATGTTTTGGAGGAAAAAATGGTGATATTTTGGGCCTGAAAAGTTTAAGTAAAAATGAAGTTTGGCGATCATTGTACAAGTGTGTAGGTACTGTGTAGGCCCATGTAGCGTTACTGCGGCACACACGTACGTGTAGATATGGGGCCCCGGGTGTACATCGCTTTTTCGACTTATGTTGTAATATTTGTGGGTCTTTATAATGCTGCTGTGGGAAGCATAATCACACATCGTTGTAATGTAAATGTATTTCACAACTCCAAACTGCATTGTTCCTATTTTCTCAAACTGTATCTTAGATTATTTGTGTGATTTAAAAATGGATATTCTGTAAGCCTAAGTGGGGAAAGTATAACGTACATGTTTTCAACAACATTTGAGTCGCCTGCCCTGACATCCACACCTGTAGGCTGAACGGTGTGGCAGACGAAATAAATTTTTATACATGAGGCAAACCGATTTTATGGAAAACGCTATATTAAGAATTTATTATTATTATTAGGAGTGAGGGAATGGAGGGAGATATATCTTCTGTGGTCCTACCTGGGTCAAACTGGGGTGAGGCAGTTTTGCACCTGGTGACTGACCACAGATCATGGTAAATGCCCAATAACGGGAAGAGTGGGATGTAAGCAGTGTTTGCCTTCAACCGTTTTTCAACTGGTCAGCAGGGCCAGCTGGCCTAGACTTTAGCTAGCCCACAGACATTTCAACTGGTCCTTATCAGGTAGTCTTTTTTTACAGAATCTCTTCATAGAAAAAATACATTAACAGTAGTTTAATTCACAGTAAATTACTGGTACCCATAAACCTCAGATAAGTAAGATTTTTGCTTACCTTGGATAAAATTGCTTGGAACATTTGATTTCTCATGTTGTTCTTAATAAAATTCTTTACCTAAAAGTTGGACCACGAAAGTTCGATTTTCACTTTCTGGAACAAATCAATCTGGAGCATTTTTAAAATACAGTTTGTTTTACCTCTTTTAAGTAGGATTTATGAAAAAAGCATTTTCGTACATTTATTCACTCTAGTAAACACAAGGATTTGGGGAATATTTTGTATTTTCATGTTCAAATCAATCATTTGGCAGCAGTTCCACTGGGTTTTCACAGCAGCGGTATCTGCAAATATCACGTGGGCTGCACGTGTACACATCATACTTTCAAGCAGCAGCCTATAACCTTGGCTTGAGCTCCATCTCGTGCTCAACTCCCATTGCCATACTGCATGAATGATCTTGACTTCTGGCTGGAAAAATGTCTATGTTACTGTGTGATCACAGACTCATTTTTATTGGACAAGGTGGCTGGGCTAAGTACAGCTACCGAAGTACATGTACACTGTGTTGGCAATGCTCAAGGTACAAACTTGTGTAGTACGATCAGTGAAACATGCTGTAATTTACTTTGTACAGCATATGTAGTGTGAAAATGAAATGATGTTTGATGTTAGAAACATTGTTACTTTGTGTCATATTTCTTGGGGGCCATGTACATTTTGTCTTCTTCGCATGAGTCAGATTTTCGCCTAAGTAAGATAAAATTGGTTGGTCCATAATCGGCAAAAAAAAAGATTTGTTACATGAAGATACATGTACAATTAAAGCAGCTGATTTTATTTTCGGTAGAAAGCAACCTTTTGGTAAGATACTACATGATGTAGTATCTCAATGTTGATTATTTTGTGTGCCAAACTACACCACGAGAATAAATAAAAAGTAGGCAAATAACGCATGTCATCACAGCAGAGCAAGTTAAGTTTGTTGTACTCATGTGCTTCGTGACTTCATGACTTGGGGACTCCCGTTTAATTACTCAAAATCCAGACAACTTTTTAAAAATTTATTCTCCAACATAGACAAGTAATTATTTATGGTAATCCAAGAAAACAACTGTGCCACACAGGCACAGCTCGCCGTGGTGAGCAAGTCCTCGCAATCCTGTTGCATGGACTGGACGGCTCGGCCGAGGAAATCGCTACTAGACTACAACAGCACACTCCACGTGGTGAGTTGGCCATGACCGGCCCCAAGCGCAGCGCAGCCTGGGTAATGGACTCTTCACTGCATAATTAATAGTCCTTCGCGTGTGGCAGTGTGGAGCATTTTTGCTGCAAAATGTATCTCGTTTTTGCAAGTTTCCGCATAATTTTCGGAACCTTTTGCACCGCTTCCGCAAAATTTTTTACACTTTTTTTTTCTCAATGTTTTTCGCAAATGTTTCACCCTGTGTTCACAGAAGATTCGCATGATTTTCGCACTGTTTTTGCATGTCGTTTGCCCCTTTCACATCCGATTCGCTGAGAATTCACTGCGAATTCGCAGGGGGGAAAAGTTGTGGTCAAAATGCAAAATGTGAATTCCTTTCCTATTTTTTCCCATTCCTTTTCACAGCCTTAACTTTCAAATGCAATGTACTGTAGTTGAAACTACACAGTCAATCAATATTTAAAAAGTAATGCATCAACAAAGTCCAGAAACTCAAGGAATTCAGGAAATGTAAAAATACATGTCTGTTAGCTCTGATACAAAGAAAAAGGAAGGGCATTTTATGGGCAGGGTTCCACCACAGTTGATAACACTTTAGCAAATGGCCTGACAGCACTAAGGAAAAATGCATAGGTAAATGTTACTTTTAGACTTCATGCTTAACATTCTACTTTTAGTCATATGTACATGTGTACTTATGCATACTTGAAATGAAAATGTGTAATTCAAGATATATCTTTAAATTTGACCTTAAATTACTAGCAATCTATTTTCAAATGATGTCAATTGTGATATCATACACACAACATGTCTTGACATTATTCAAGTTTACACTGGGTTCCATTTTCATCCTATGAACCATGTGAAAGATACTGATTTATGTTTTGATTTCAGGTTTGGCATTTTGATCTGATTTCAACATTCAAAACTGACACAACTTGACTCCAGAAGTAAAGTTCATATGACTTAGCCCTAATCAAAGGCCACAAATGTTGCCCAACTCAGGGTGTCAGATCCAAATTAGAAAACATCAAGGCCAATGTTAGTTCATGGGATAGGACCGAAAGAATCTGAATGTGAATCACTTGTAATTTGATATTTGTCTGCACATCCAGGCAATGTAACAATGTTATACAGATTGTGACATTTTTAGCAGGTTGGCCTACTGAGCCAAAACCATCATGGATAAAAATGAAGTGCTGCAACTCAAGCAAGCATTCATTGACTTTTGACGCATGTTGAAAATTCCTACATACCTGTATTCTGTTACTTCCAAGATAAAGCCTTTGAAGGTTCTCGAGGTACTGCAAGTGGGATAAATTACGAAGTCTATTTTCTTCCATGTGGAGCTCCACTAAGTTCCACTGATTCATGAAAGAATATTCTGTGAGCTCCTTTACTCTGTTACGATCCAACACTATCTCTCTGAGATCTTGTAAACTATCAAGACCTTCTACTTTGCTGATCTCATTTCCTGGTGCACAGGTAAACAAAAACGAAGACAACAATCTCAATAAAGGGGATAAACAACTTCCCAATATTCAGTATTCTGACAAATAATGCCTAAAATTTGCTGTACTGTGGATCCGACATCTAATCTACAAGCTTACCTTGTAAGAAGAGTGCCTTAAGAGATGGTAATCTGCTGATTTGAAGCTTGACCAGATCAGTGATTCCATTATATCTGGGAACAAGGGTAAAACATAAACTTGTTAATTAATCCTGATATAATGCATAAAGGTCTACAATACAATGCTGCCATAATGAACATGACAAGTTCACACTAAAAGTTGTCATAGCAGAAGTTTGGTATAGGGATTTTCAGTTGCTGCTTCATCTGTTCCTTACTCCAGCCTGTTACAAGTGCGTTATGGCTGAGGCCTGTCTCACAACAAAATTTCTGCATGATGATTTTGGGTCAACATTTTCAATGCACACAAAAATCAAGTTAAAAACAAATATACACTGAAATTTGTGCCTTTTCTTCAATTTAAATTGATTTCCTTCAATATTTCACCCCTCTGTGGTTCTTCATAAAAGTCAAATTGAAAAAGAAATAAAGCTACATGTAGATGCAGTAGTAACACTCTTAATATGAAACTATAATTGATGTGCCTGGAACCACTTTCTAGCACTGGAGTTGCAATGGTTCAGGACAAAAGTCAGCAACTCAAGTCACCTAGCATGGTTGAAAATGATCAAACTGGCAAAACGTAAAACATAAAGATTTCTGCCAGTTAAAGGTAGTGTATTCCTTTGGTAAAATCCCCCAAATTGGACTACCCTATAATCCTGAAATATCTTACTTGAAAGAAAGTACACAACAGCCTCAATCAGCCTGTAAAAGACAGCCTTTCCAGACAGTCGACTAGTCGCGATGCGGCGACTAGTTGGACTGTATTACGACTAGAGGTCTGAACTTGTAGCCCGCACCCATGACTACATATGTGCCTAGAACTACACAGTGGAGTACCCAGTCTCCGCAAAGTAGTGCTGTGGTACGTGTGACACAGCATTTGCCTACTGTGTGCAGTGCAGCCACACGGGAGGCCTAGTGTCAGTACATCACAGCTGCGACTAGTCATGTCCGATCTGGACATGAGTGCACAGAGAACAAACGATGTGGGTGCAAACATGATTCCTTCTTGCTTGAAGATATTATTTTTCATGAGCAGGGCCATGCATCTGTGTTTTAGGCTTTAGAATTTGTGACGATAGTTGGTTTGGTGCCCTCTGTTGACCAGTCTCAAAAAGAAGATTGTAAAACCTTGCTTAATTGCTGCTGAATAAATGCAACCCAGATCCACTTTAAATCATCTGAATCAGGCATCATCCTACAAAGTCCTGCAAGTTATTACATGGTGTCAGAACAGTAATGTCTTCATGCGTGAGATTCACGATTTTGGACTCTAGATGAATAGAGATCAGCCCGAAACATTGGTGACTTCAATTGACATTGATTCTCCACGACGCCATTGCATACATGTACCTCCATTGTGACGCACGCATCTCCACCACATCGAATGAACTGTAGTGAAAGACTGATCAATGTGCCACTGAATGGTTGCATAATGGACGGTACTTCATAAACTGAAGGGACACACCATTTCTTTAGAAATTAGATCTGAGGTTAGCACTGTAAAAGATTTTAGAAATAATTCTGCTTGCATTTTACGGCCATGATTCCATCGTCACTGATCGTTGTTGTAACATGTAATTGTTAGATTTGCTACTAGTACTCCATAGCCTAACTGTGGTTACTATCATGACTGCTACAGTGTAAACTCACACACACATACAACTTCTACCTGCGTTGCAGGTGACTGGTGATCTAAAAGCTAACTAGTAAAAGTTCAGGCAGTAGTGGGAAAGCTACGAAATAGTAACTAACATTGTGGAAAAACCTGACAAAATTTGGGTTGTCATGTTCATCACTGCCATATGGCAGAGATGCACTTGAAATTCACAACAACGTTCAGTACAATTCGGAGGACAAACAAAAAATTGAGATGATCCTGAAACTCTGGGAAGAGCTCTGTAAAGGCAAGACAAATATAATCGATGAGAGATATAAGTTTAATATCTGATAATAAGTTAATGAACGTTTTGATCACTATTTGGTTCGACTGAGGGAGTTGGCATCTACATGTGATTTTGGCAGCCTCTCAGAGGATTTCCTCAGGGATAGAATTGTGTGTGGCATAACAGATAACACACTGCATAAACGACTGCTGCAAGAAGCAAGCCTTAAGCTAGATAAATTTGTCATGTTATGTAAAGTAGCAGAGGCAGCCATATCAGTCGGTTGAGTAGTTTTGATTTCCTCAACTGATTTGGGACTTAGGTTGGGGGGGTGTTCCTTCTTGATGGGGTTTGTGGTGTGACGGAAAGTGTATAGGACTAAAGCTAGTCTAATTTTATTAATGAGTTGCAGTGCACGTACCTGATTGACTAGTGACTTGGTAACGTGTGCTGGCTAGGCATAGCGTAGCGCGCTGTGTGCACATGGTCGTGCTACTGCAGTGAGTGCTGCGATCGCATTATAGTTGGTTGCGTGTTGGACTTCGCAGAGTGAAGTTGGTGAGTTGGCACGGAGCTAAGGCATTGTCAGCGCTGCGCAAAGTGTTGCGTGGTGCTGATGCGTTGCAAGTACGTGATTGTATAGACTGTACGTGGCTGACTAGTGTGTGTAGCTGACGC